ACACACTACTACTACTACTACTACACACTACACTACTCAAACTACACACTACTCATACTATACACACTACACTACTCGCACTGCTCACACTATACACACTACTACTACTACACACTACACTTCTCATACTACACACACACACACACACACTACTCATAATATACAGACTATACTACTACTAGACACTACACTACTCAAACATACACTTTATTCATACTATACACACTACACTGCTCACACTACTCATACTATACACATTATATTACTATACACTACACTACTCAAACTACACACACTACACATACTATACACACTACACTACTCACACTGCTCACACTATGCACACTACTACTACTACACACTACACTACTCAAACTACACACACTTCTCATACTATATACACTACACTACTCAAACTAGTGCTGTGTTCACAGAGATTTGACGATACGAGTATCGATACAGCTGGCCCTGTATAGATATTGTGGCACGTGTGCAGCAGTGGACCGCGCTTAATTTTAATACAAGAACAACATTAAAATTGAGTAGAAAAGTGCGAGGATGAATATGAATAGAGCATAATATATAGGCTACAACAAGGTTTAATCTGGCCGCAGAGGAACACAACTGGGTTGCCTGATATAAATAGACGGAATCCCCGAAACAGAGCTTCACACTTGCGCAATACAGAAATATCTGCTAAGTGTGCTACTTATTGCGCGCTCTCTCCACTGTGGATAAACACGCTTGCTTTCTGAAAACACAGCTTAGCTTGCAGTTTAGCGATCTCCAGTGTAATATTCTATTCTCAGAAAAGTGTAATTCTTCAACTGTTCATTTACGAGAGACCGAGAGAGAGGGAGAGGCTGTGTATGTATGAATTACCACCGTTTTGCCGCGTTTCTCTATTAACAGTAAAGCTGTGGCTTTAATTGCTTTAGAAACTGATGCTACCAGCTCCTTGTTGAGAAAGATAATCTAGCTCTTGAGAGATTAAGCTATTTAGTTGATAAAATCGCGGGGCAGTGCTAAAAAGTTTGTTCCTGAATGTCTGAGTGTGGCCGCAGCGTGATCTGTGTCTGTGTGTGTGTGTGACTGAGCGTGTGTGTGTTAGATACAGAAGACAGCGCATTAGTTTAGAACTCTTCTAATTTTTTCTTTTAAATCGTAGAGAGTGTGTTAATTTGTGCAATGATAACCTACCAGCAATGTAAATGATTTTTTAATATATTAAAATGAGTACATTACAATATAAATTTATTAGGATGAGTAAATTATTATTTATGGGCTTAAAAATAAGATGCAAACAATCAGAATACCTGGTGGGGAGTGCACAATGTAAACATGAAACATATGGCATTACCTTTATTATACTGTGAGCTCAGCTGCTGCTCTGCCTATAGTTAGACATGGCTCTATAGTAAGCAGTGTTTAATAAACAGCTGTTTTACTAAATTCTGCTGAGGTGAAATTCAGGGCAGTCACGTATCGTGATAAGTATCGTACCGTGGCCTCTGTATCGTGATACGTATCGTATCGTGACTTTGCTGGTGATACACAGCCCTAACTCTGACTACTCACAGTACACACTATACTACTGCACAGTACACACTACACCACTCACAATGCTCATACTATACACACTACACTACTCACACTGCTAACACTACTCATACTATACACACTATACTACTACGTAATACATTACTCATACTGCTCATACTATGCACACTATACTTCACACTACACATACTATACTTCTCATACTATACACACTAAACTGCTCACACTGCACACAGTGCTCACACAACACTTACTATACACACTATACTACTCACACTACTACACATACTACAAATACTACTCAGTGCTCACTATACACAAATTATACACACCATACTGCTCACACTACACAAAGTAGACATACTATACTATACAATCTACTCACATGCTCACACAACACATACTACACAAACTATATATTATACTACACACTACTCACACTGCACATACTACACATACTATAAACACACACTACACATACAATAGACAATATGCTACTCACACTGCACATATTATACACACTACTACACACACTACTTGCACTACACAACACATTATACACACTATACTACTTAAAACTGCTCACACTACACCTACTATACATACTAATACTACACATACTACTCAACACATAGTATACAAACAGCACACTATACTACTTACACTGCTCACACTACACATACTACTCGCGCTACTCATTATGCTACTCACTCTTCTCACACTACACGTACTAGTCAAGCTACACATACTATACACACTATACTACTCACACTGCTTAAACTCCACATGAACATACTATGCTACTCACACTACACATATTAATACTACTATACTAATACTACACATACTACTTCTCACACTATACATACTACTCACACTAAACATGCTACTCATATTATCACTATATTAACACCTCTCACTCTACACATACTACTCATACTATTTTTCAGTGTGTACTCTGTACGACCTACTACATTTGCTATACTGAGCAGAACAACAGAGCCAAACTCGTCACCAGTATGCAGGTATATACTACAGTGTGCATTGATTATCTCATTGTGAACAGCACAGACCGTGTGCATCGACCTGCGGCTGGTTCAGTGTTTGTGGTTTGAAGCTCCAGCTCAGATCTTCACTCAGGACTGTTCTGGGGTCAGTGAAGAGCGCTCAGCTCTGCTATGTCTCCTGCACCAGTCCTTCAGTCACTATAAATCAATCCTCTCAGTCTCTCCTCCTGTTTTATGTGTCGGCGATCTGCCGGCGGTGTGTGTGAATGGATTCAGAGCTGCCGTAGTTCACGTTCTGTGAGTGAGTTTGATGTGGAACAGGTTCTGCTCACATCTGTGAACTTCATGTAGACAGAGACTCATCGTTCATGATTCAGAAACATCTTCATGCTGAGTCACTGACTGAGTTTACATGCACACCAGCTTCTGTTTCAGCTTTACTCTGGATATGATTTTTATACAAGTACAGCATTGGGAATATATTCCTGTATATACACATTGTTCTACAGATGCTTGTTTACTTTCCCGATGTTTTTTCCCGGGAGATTCCAGATGTATGTGCTCAACTATTAGTTTGATATGCTGGTGTTCTGCTTAAACCCCGCCCCTTTCTTACAGTCCAATGCATTTAGCTCCGCCTACATTTTGAGTGCCACGCCCATATCTCAACATTCAATCAACAACTGATGGAGAGAACTAAGTCTGTGTTCGAAATGCCATACTATCATCCTACTCTTACTATTCCTGCAGTATCCAATATGTATGCTGTGCATAGTATGCAAATTTTCTGTATGCATGTAATACCCGGATGACCTACTATATTCGCCAGAATCTGCTAAATATAATTCAAGTACACTGAAATCACTACAGAAGCTATTCGGAATGGCATACTACCATACTATATTGCAGTATGCTGTGTGTATACTGTGAATAGTATGTGAATTTTCTGTATGCATGGAATGCCCGGATTACCTGCTACATTGGCTGAAATTTGATGTGTGCATCTGAAGACGCTGCATGGGAGACTGTTTCCCAGAACGCAACGCGCTCCATGTGACGTTCTTCAAACGAGTGAGTGAACTGGAGGTGGGGAATAGTATTTATAAATGTAACACTGTACATGTAATGGAAATCGGGGTGCTCCGATCAGGGTTTTTGAGGCCGATCGCAGAAAGCAGTATCTGCCGATACCGATCACATTTTTAGACATTTATTCAGGGTCTGAATATAATTTTTGAAAATGGGGGAAATTCCTCTCATAGGTGTCTCTTGTGAGAGAAGCAGCTTTCACACAGGAGTCCGCCACTGATCCGTGTTTACACTACTTTTCTTACGTTATCACAAACTTACCACTGACAGAAATAGTCAGCTCTACTGTGTTTCCTTTTGCATTGAAATCTTTATTACAAGCAATCCTGCCATTCACTTTGTTTTCCTTCCTCCACGAGTGCCATCTATTATTGCCTTGTTTATCTAAAAGTGCTCTTTTCCTTTAAACCCAACCAACAAGCTATATCTGTTGACTATGAAACACAGTAGAGTTTATTAATATGCATTTATGGTGTAATTACTACATTTTCGTGTCAATCCATGTTTATATTTACTGCAAACAATGCGCTGTTACTTTAATTCAGCGCTTGCAGCGCAGCAAACATAGACTCGGTGCTGAAACGATCTCTGCACTGCTGCAGACGCACCGCTCCTGAACACACTGCCGGACCGCAACCACTTTAGTGACGATGTGACACTGCCTCGATTGTGCAAGTGACAATTCCTGTGTCAACTGTGCAGCGTGCAGCTTATAGACAGACGCGATGTGGTGATTTGAAGCCGTTTGCATATTTTGAGAGAGAAAGAGAGAGAGCGCGGTGAGTCACTCTCACTGTTTGTGAAATTACGTCTCACACAAGGTTTTCAAATTACTTTATAAGTTATTTAATGAAGAAATATGAAGGTGAGTACCTGACCTTCAGCAGTATAATGATTTCACCCGCGCCGGACAGAGACTGACGGTGCCGCTGCATGTCGTGCCAAACCTCTCACTGCAGCGTCATCAGCTTGAGATTGTTTTTTTGAGATCGGCCTTTTAGAGACCGCCGATCAATCATCCCAACGGGATTATCGGCCGATAGTGATCGGTAGCCGATCAATCGGAGCACCCCTAAAAATGACAGTGTTGTGATGTCTTGATTTGAGCTGTTTTAGCTGGTTTTAAAGCCTATTTAGTCTGATTTTAAATCAGTTAAAGTAGCCAGTGGTTAAGCAGACATGAGACAGACAGCGCTGTGTTTTTATGAGCAGTGCGTTTCTGCCGGAAACACGTTTCTCCGCTTTGATTTCTGAAGGCTTGAGCGATGAAGAGGAAGTGAAGTGAAACGGCTGTTGTTTCCTCTGATAGTTTCCTGCATCGCCCGTGTTGGTGTGATCAGACTGCTGTTCGCTCGTCTCTTCGCTGACTCTCATTCATTCATGATCTGATCTGATAACAGACGACACTGATTCTGCAGACGTCTGTCAGAGCCAGACTGATCCGAACTGATGTGGTTCAGTCCCGTCTAACAGCGGTGAGTTAACCTGGTTAATTTCCAGCAGGGGATGTCCGGTCCTGAGCCGGTCGCCATGGCGACAGGTGTGTTTGTAGATGTGAGTGTGACGGATGCAGAGAGTGTCATCACCCGTCACCTGCACGCTGACCTTTGACCCCATCGGGACACACGTCAGATGAGCAGGAAACGGGCTTCGAAAACGACTTCCTGTCACGAAATGTCACTGAGTTAGACAAATTTTGGATGAATGAATCAAAAGGAGGGCTGCACACTGAATCATATGCTGATATGAACAAGTGTGTGAATATACATTTTTTTCCATTTTTTAATTAAAAAAATAAACCTCATTTTACAAGATTAATTAAATTGTTATAGTTTCATGCATTCATTTGATTACCAGCGTTTTTGATAATTTCATTTGTGTTAAATCATAAACATTGAATCTAGAAAAATTTAAACGGACTTCAGAAAAAATAAAACACATTTCATAAAATTTTTATAAAATTATTTAATTGTTAAACATTTACAAATTCAGTTTATTAGACGTCATTTTTTATTATGGAATATTTAAAATAAAATAAAGTTAAAATAAAATTTAAACGGAAAACAGAATTTGAGAGAAAATAAAACACATTTCATTTGGCAATATTATTATTACAATTGTAGTAAATTATTAAATGGAGAAAGTTTTATGTATTGTTTAATCATCCTTTTTGATTATTAAAATTGAATTAAACCATTAAAATGGAATTCCGAAAAAAACCCCTAAAACATGGAATTTAGTGGGAAAAGTAATAAAATGGATTACATGGAGAAAATGTTATTAAATTATTCAGTTGTTAAAATTGACTTTTAATCATTAAGTTAAATTAAAAAGTTTTAACCATTGAGTTGTGTGTGTGTGTGTGTGTGTGTGTGTGTGTGTGTGTGT